ATTTTTTTTTGATGTGGGGGGGGGGGGGGGGGGGGGCGCACACACACCAGTGTTATTTTAGGATCTTTGAGCTATTATTATAGTTTTATTAATATTTAGATTTTTTTTTTGCTTAGAAGTTTTAGTAATTTATTTCTCTTTTTGCCTTTTTTTTTAATTATTATTATTTTTTATATATATGTCTGTAGTTTTTATTTCATTTTCACTTTAAGTGAAAATTAGAAATTATGTCTTGAAAACATGGAATATACTTTTTATATTTTATTTCAGTTCATTTTTTATTATATTTCATTTGATCATTTTTATTAAGTAACTAATTTTTTGTAAAGATTTTTGTTAAATATAATAACCCTGACATACACAACACACCTTCAAAGGCATTTATTAAAGTGTCAAAGTACAGTCATAATTAATCATTAATAACCCAGTCTATATATGTAGAAATGTAATCAAATGTTACTATCAGAACAAATACAGATAAAAAAAAACACACACACAACAAAAAAAACACTCCACATCACGTCCTCATTCTCTGGAACATCAGGTGACACTATCAAACCAAAGAAACGTCCAATCACAGGCCTCCAAAAACAGGAAGTGTCCTTTTCAGTCAGATTCCAGTGCTGCACCAGGTGATTGGCTGTGAGTGAGTGATTGACAGCTGGGGTGACTCCGGTCAGAACGGGTTCCCACCTGATTGACCTGATTCGCTGGAGTCACCGACACAGTGAGAGTGAGGATGCACTGTGATTGGCTGAGATTGATCACATGGTGTCAGAACGAGCTGTTGGAAAAGAGCGATTCCTGCGTTTGATTTGACCAATGAGAGGAGAGAACTGAAATGTACAAGGAAGCAGAACAGGAAGTAGTCATTGAGGTAAAAGACAAACATATTTAAGCATTTATTGAGCATATCAGTCGTTCACACCTTCAAACTTTCTGAGTTCTGGAGGACATTTAATCTACAGCTAAAAGTCTGTTGTGAGACTGTGAGTACATTCACACGGCTTTATGGGTGAGGCTAATGTGTCTAAACTGTTAAAATATGTTGTGTATTAGTTAGTGTTCTCCATCTATATGAGTTTCTTTAGTGAGGCTGGAAACTTTTGGCCAGATCCTCCATGACGCTCATGAATTTCTGATCTTCCAGCTGTGAACTGCGCGTCCAGGCCAAGGGAAGATGAGCCGACACCATCTGCCGATCTAATGCATGTAAAACACAAAGACAAAAGGATGTTTAACACATGAAATCCACCCAAATTCATCAGGAGAAATAATTCATTTTGCCTGAAGAATCAATAGAGAGCAGGTTGTTAATTGATGAAATATGCCTCTGTAGAAGCCATGTGTCTGATTTCCACCCAATTCCAGTTGAAGAACTGCACTACCCATCATCCTCGAGCAAGACCACCAATCAGAGAAGTCACTGTTACCATGGAAATGACAATCAAGATCACAACAGTGAGTGTTTGCAGTTGCCAAGTAACCTTTCATGTCTGCATATCATAAAAACAACATGCACAAGAAATCAGAACTGTACTGGTGCACAAATAGGGGTTTTGCAACAATTCATTCTTAAGTTAGTAGTTTTGGTCTACCAGTTCTGAATACATGGCTACATATGTGCATAAGATATTTATGAAAAAAAAAAAATATATATATATATATTTTTTTGTCAGGACCACTATCGTCAAAGATGATTGACAATTAGCATACTCCCTGCGCATCCATGCAGCCTAGCATGAATGAGAGCAGGGAGAGCAGCGATAACCCCACAGGGTAAACAGAACAGAACCAACATAAATGTATTGCAGATATTGTTAAAGTTCAATAATTTTATGTACACTTTTTAGAATTAGTCTGATTCAAAGGAGAATCAGAAGGCTGAATCCCGACTGACAGAGGAGGAGCTGGGGATGGAGGAGGGTAATTAGCTATTGAGCAACGTGAAAACTGCTGATAATACCGAGGGACCTTATATATGAATGCTTAGATAGGTGTCGTATTCCTATAGGTAGATGGGGATCAGCTGATGAGAGCTGGACTAACGTGACCTGCCAGAACTAACACTTACGCTTGAGAGAGATATATATATATATTCTTTTCTTTTTTTTTCTCCAGGAATTGGTTAATTTTGTATGGAAGCCAGTTTCCGCCACTGAATAAAAAATAAAACAAGGTAATTGCGACTTTAGAGTGAAAAATTTAAGGGGGTCTGAATACTTTCCGTACCCACTGTATATGTAACATTGGAAATGTTATTTGACAAATCAGCAATGTCAAACTTGTAGGTAAATATGTAAGTCTGGTGGAAACTGCATGTTTTAGGTTATGTATTTTTTGCTGTTTTTTTTAAATAAAAAGATTCCATGTAGCTTTTTGAAAATGCATCTATGCACGGTTTAAATTAATGATATAAAAAACTGTGCATTTGCAATTACTCGGCGTGTCGACCCATCCGGGGTGCATCACAGAGAAGTGGATGTTGGGGTGAGCTTTAGCAAACTGCTCCGTCATCACCACCTGCTGCCTCTGAAACACAAAGAAAGAAGTACATAGAAGGCATTTCTGATAGCACGAGAATCACTGACATTATAAACAGTTACTGAAGTCAGTGAAACAGTAAAGTCTTGAATATTTTTACAGTAATTTTACGCTACTGTTTAAAAGTTTGGGGTCAGTAGGATTTTTTGGGGACAGAAATTAGTACTTTTATTCAAGCAAGGGTACATTAAATTTATCAAAAGGGACAGTAAAGACCTTTCCATTTCAATTAAATTCTATTCTTTTCATTAAAGAATCCTGACAAAAATGTATCACTGTTTCCACAAAAATAAGAGGCAGCATAACTGTTTTTTAACATTGATAATAATCCAAAATGTTTCTTGAGCAGCAGATCAGAATATTAGAATGATTTCTGAAGATCATGTGACACTGAAGACTGGAGTAATGATGCTGAAAATTCAGCTTTGATCACAGAAATAAATTATATTTTAACATATATTCACATAGAAATCAGCAATTTTAATTCAGAAATATATCTCACAATTTTTCTGTTTTTACTGAAATTGTAACCAAATAAATGCAGCCTTGAAGAGACTTTGATCGTAAAACTGGAATATCCTAAAAATGTTCAAACTGTAGAGCTGTAATCTACAGTAACAATGAGTGATTAAACTAGCATATGCCATCATAAATAGTTTTTCTGTACAGTATGTGGACACAAGCTTTTTTTCCACTCTCTATGTGAATGTATATATACCTTGTTCTGTGCATACACCATAGTGCCGTCATATCTGCCCCTCTGAGACTGCAGGTTTCCCGTTCGCAGTTTCTGCACCAGCATCCCACCGGATGATACTGTGATCTGAAAGAGAGGAGAGAGAGATGGTGACCGTCTGACCTCCGTCTGTCGCTCTCAGCCTCTGGTTTACTCACCACTCTGGGGTCAGGGCTCTTCTCCAGCAGAGGAATGAGGCTCTTGATGAGGATGTACACGGCTGACGAACACAACAGAGACATCAGGTGAAAACAGTCTGCTAAGGCATTAAAGATGTTATTTATTATAAAGTTAGTAGAAAAGACTTCTAGCCCTGATGAGCTGGTTTTGTTTGTTTGCTTGCTCACTTACCCAGAGAGTTGCTTGCAAAGCTTTTCTCCAAACCCTCACCATTCACCTCCCTCTTAGTCATCATACAGCCGGCGTTATTGATCTGTCACAGTCAATCCAATCAAACAACCAAATGATCATTCCTTCAGTTGGCTGCTAATGCCATTCAAAAAAAATGTCACGTCTGGGGTCAGTAAGATTTGAAAAAAAGTCTCTCATGCTCACCAAGGCTGCTTTTATTTGATCAAAAATAAGGTAAAATTGTGTAAAAAATTATTACAATTTAAAATAGATGCTTTCCTTTTGAATATATTTTAAAATGTAATTTATTCCTGTGATCAAAGCTGTATTTTCAGCATCATTACTCCAGTCTTCAGTGTCACATCATCTTCAGAAATCATTCTAAGATGCTGATTTGCTGCTCAGAAACATTTCTGATTATTATCAGTGTTGAAAACAGTTGTGCTGCTTCATGTTATTGTGGAAACTGTGATACATTTTATTTTTCTTTGATGAATAGAAAGTTGAAAAGAACTCAATTTACAGTATTTGAAATAAAATCTAAATCTAATAGAAATAAATATTTAGTAACAATACAAATATCTTTATCGTCACCTTTGAGCAATATAATGTTCTTGCTGAATAAAAGCATAAATTTCGAATGAAAAATCATACTAACACCAAACGTTTGAGCAATAGTGTATACGCAACATTAAAGCCTCACCAGGACGTTGAGAGTTTTGTACTTTTTCTTAAAAGACTCTGCAAACTCCCACACCTTCTTGGTCTCAGTAAGATCCAAAATATGCACATAGATTTCCTGCAGCCAGACACAGAGGCCGAAGGTCAGGTATTTTACTAGACCATCTTGCATAGGAGACAGACAGCGTGTATAAATAAATGGGTCATTTCAATGATTCAGTGGAGTTTTGTACAAATAGAAACATGCAATCTACTACATTACTCTTCATTAAGCAGCTGCTTTCTCATTTTTTCTGCATGTTCAATGGTGGAAGCCATCTTTGTTACAATCAGCTGCTTTAACTACTAAACTGCAGGCCAACAATCCCAGTCATTCCAATATTAACTCATACTTTGTTTCCAGACTCCTTGACAATCTCTGCCCTGGCTTCTTCTGCTTTGTCCTTGTTCCTGCAGACCATGTGGATGGTACCACCTTGAAGAAGAGGGACAACAGAGGTTACACTGCGACCCAAAAGTGTTTGGAGACTTAAAAATGCTTAGAAATGTTGGAATGTCATTGCTTTAGATAAATGCATAGATGCAGACAAATAAAATGAGATAAAATGCATACATTTAGATAAATGCAGAGCACGAGTACAGCAACCATGAAGAAACGTGAAGGTCTAGCATAATTTGTTTGCAGATTCTGGGTTTTGTTATCTAATGCAATGACATTTGAACATGTTTTTGTTTGACCAATATTTCCAAATAATTGTAAGGGCAACTGTATTCACGCAAACATATGGAAAACATTTGAAGAACATAAGTACACCATGAAACACCAGGTTACTTTCTATTTTCTAATAATTCACACACTTGTTTAAGTTACCAGCCACTGCTGATTTTCTCCAACACGCACCTTTCTTGGCGATGGCCATGGCAGTGGCTTTCCCGATCCCGCTGTTCGCTCCAGTGATCATGAAGGATCGGCCCGCCACTGACGTCTCTAGGTCCTTCTCAACAAAGCTTTTAGACGCTGACAGAAATGCCCCCCTGAGACACACACGTTCAATTAGTCTTGAGATGTCACGGGGTTACCTTCGCACGCACTTCTCAAAACACTGCTAGATGGTTCAGTTAACTAATTAGTTCACTTTTTGCATGCTTTGAACTGTTTGACATCAAACTATTTTAAGATGAAGGACGAGGCAATGGAAGAACCCAGCTAACAAAATTATTTTATAAGAACTTTTTGCCAAGTTATGGAAACATTATTTCTGAATGTTCTCTAAACATTCAAAACATCAATTTTTAAAATGTTTTAAAATGTTTTTTTTTGTCTTGGCAATGTGAACATTAAAGGAACATTTAATTTGATCATTTTACAAATATTATGTGAATGCTACTTCTGAATGTTCTCTGAACATTCTGAAACAAGTAGCAACACTTAAAAAAAAAGTTAGATGAGCATTCAACTAAAACGTTTCAGAAAAAAAAACAATCCATAAACGATGTACAGTTAAGGTTGTTGTGCTAACATTTTGAGAACATTAATAAAGACCCGATAACTTTGAAAATTAATGTTAATGTAACTATTAATGTTACTGAAAGAATGTTTGAGTGAACTTTGAGAGAACCTTGCCAGTATGGTGGGGCAGTTCTGAGAATATTACATTGTCATTTTGCAAACATTACGTTAACGTTAGTTTTGAACGTTTTGAAACAAGTAGCGACATTTAAAAAATAATTCAACTAAAATGTTTCTGAAAAAAACATTCCATGAACGATGTATTGTTTTGTTCTAACATTTTGAGAATATTAATAAAGACCCGTTAACTTTGAACAAACTTTCTATTAACGATACTGGAAGAATGTTTGCTTATAATTTTGAGAGAACCTTCCCAGAACACTGGGGAAGTTCTGAGAACATTCCGCGAAGGAACACAAACATGGAAATGTTACTTTTGAATGTTCTCGGAACATTCTGAAACAAGTAGCAACATTTAGACGAATTTTCAATTAAAACGTTTCACAAAAAAACATTCCATGAATGACGTACACAGTAAAAAATGATTGTGATTTTAACAGTAAAAGACTGTAAAAATGCTACAGTAAAAACCTGTTAACTGGTTAACAGTAATTTCCATACTATATTCAGTGAATAAATGTAACTACATTTAATGTAATTTTACAGTAAAATACTGTTAAAAATACGGTTTTTGGAAGTGAAAAAGAAAGTCATTGTATAATTTACAGTGAAAAAACGTAAATTGACACTCCCAGAATTCCATGCTTGACGCTTCATATTTGATGTTTTTTTGCTGAAATAACATGTTTCTTCTTAGTTTTTTCTTATCAGTTGTGTACATTATGGTTTAATCCTACATCTAATGTTGTTAACTTAATGTTTATTGCATTATTTCAGTATCATGTGTGTCACCATGATGGGGTTTAGTGTTTGTGTTAATGACACCATGCACCTTCTATATATACAGTGGTGTGAAAAAGTGTTGGCCCCCTTCCTGATTTCTTTTTTTTTTTGCATGTTTGTCACACTTTAATGTTTCAGATCATCAAACAAATTTAAATATTAATCAAAGATAACACAAGTAAACACAACATGCCGTTTTAAATGAAGGTTTTTATTATTAAGGGAAAACAAAATCCAAAACTACATGGCCCTGTGTGAAGAAGTGTTTGCCCCCCTGTGGTTATCACACCTGAGTTCAATTTCTCTGCCACACCCAGGCCTGATTACTGCCACACCTGTAAGAAATCAAGAAATCTCTCCAGCGAACCACAGTGAGAGTCATTATTCACAAATGGCAAAAACATTGAACAGTGGAGAACCTTCCCAGGAGTGGCCGGCCGACCAAAATTACCCCAAGAGCACAGCGACAACTCATCCAAGAGGTCACAAAAGACCCCACAACAACATCCAAAGACCTGCAGGCCTCACTTGCCTCAGTTAAGGTCAGTGTTCATGACTCCACCATAAGAAAGAGACTGGGCAAAAATGGTCTGCATGGCAGAGTTCCAAGACGAAAACCGCTGCTGAGCAAAAAGAACATAAAGGCTCGTCTCAGTTTTGCCAGAAAACATCTTGATGATCCCCAAGACTTTTGGGAAAATACTTTGACGAGAGTGGACTGACGAGACAAAAGTTGAACTTTTTGGAAGGTGTGTGTCGTGTTACAGACTAATTGCAAGTTATCGCAAACGCTTGATTGCAGTTGTTGGATGGCCCAACCAGTTATTAGGTTTGGGGGCAAACACTTTTTCACACAGGGCCATGTAGTTTTGGATTTTGTTTTCACTTAATAATAAAAACCTTCATTTAAAAACTGCATGTTGTGTTATCTTTTACTAATATTTAAATTTGTTTGATGATCTGAAACATTAAAGTGTGACAAACATGCAAAAAAATAAGAAATCAGGAAGGGGGCCAACACTTTTTCACACCACTGTAAATATTGCCCTCCTCAGCTCGTAGAAAAGCTGTTTGTGATGAGCTTTGGTTCATGACTTTCTCATCACCACCTGTTTTTTGTGGTTATCAGTGCATTACAATGGTTCAAAACAGATATTAGTACTTCAATATGTTGGTTTATTAACATTACATCAATTAATGAAATACAGTATTTTATTGTGAATTTAAGTTAAGTCTGTAAAATCTAAAATGTTGCTACCATATTTTTTACGGTGAAGTTCTGGCAACCACAGCTACCGGTATTTTACCGTAAAAGTCACAGATTTTTTTTACAGTGTAGGCTAACTTTGAATGAATGTTCTATTAAAGTTACAGTAAGAACGTTTGTTTATAACTTTGAGGGAACCTTGGCAGAAAAGTAGAGCAGTTCTGAAAGCATTGTTAATGTTACTTTTGAATGTTATTTGAACGTTCTGAAACAAGTGGCAACATTTTCAAAATGTATGAACATTCAGCAAAAACATTTCTGAAAAAACATTCCATGAATGATGCACAGATAATGTTGTTGAGCTAACATTTTGAGAACATTATTAAAGACCAGATAACGTTGAACTAACCATTAATGTTACTGGAAGAACGTTTGTTTATACCTTTGACAGAACCTTGGCAGAATGTTAGGGTTCTGAGAAAATTGGGAAAAAAAGGGAAACATTCCATTTTAGCATTTTGAAAACATGGAAATGTTTCCAGATGTTCTGAGAATATTCCAAAGTAACAAGAGGCGTCATTTTAGAAATGTTAGATTAATGATTTTCTGAGAACATTTCCTGTTAGCTGGGAATGTGTTTCAGTGTTGATTTTTGTATGATACAAAATTTGGTTGTGTATTCGTTCGCCACTTAACGTCCTGAAGCAAAACCACTCAAGATGCCCTGTCCTAATGTGCCACTTTGCGTCATCGCTTAGCTAATGAGAGCGGACTATCAGTGCGTCCTCTGATAGCACCGCTCCTGGTATCGGTGGTGCTCGTGCCCTTGACCCGATCTCAAAGACTGGCTTTGTCCACGCGTGCCAGGCCAGGCGGAGGGATGAGAGGAGCGAGGAGGTGCCGGGGGAATCGAGCAGTTCTCGGTAAATGCATGCACTGTTAAGGGTGATGTGTGTTCTATTATGGGACGTGAGAGGTCGACCCGGGTGACAATGTATTAGGAGGAAAAAAACAGAGATGCAGAAACCACTGAAAGATAAACAACAGACGTGAGCTGAGACCGTTCGAGTGACTCCCAAGAATTTATAAGAATGTATATGAAATTGAATTTTTTTGGAAAACAAAAAGCCACAAGCGTTAGTGTGTTGCCGCTGAGCTCAGAAAAAAATAAATAGCCTAATCTAAAAAATATACAAGTTTTGCAGATGTTAGAAACTGACTTTTTAAGCATGAGTGATCACCTTTGACCCTTACCATAATTTATGTTGTCATTGTGTTTATGATGTGCAACACTTTTGTAATGCATATTTTTTGAAGAAAAACTAATTATGTTCTTGTTTTTAAGTAAAAAAAAAATTAAGTAAAGAATTGAATAATTCTTCAATCATATCAGGGTCAGTTACTACATTTAAATATTTCTACATGGGAGTAAAAATTAAAGTAGGCCTGCAGACAAATGCTGGACATTTGTAAATATTTTGATCAATTTCAATTTAAGGTCAGAACCATTTGTTACTTGTGTTTCAGCCCCCATCACACATCATCTTGAATCAAACTCCTATAAATGAGTACAAACTAATAAATGCACAATTAATATTTTAATGTACAAAAAATGCTTTAAAAATGTGAGAGAGAAACAGATGTAGTAGAATAACTGAAATATGACCCATGCAATATTTAACATTATAATTATTGATGTTAAATATTACGTTAAATAGGCTATTGCATGAGCCTTTATGCAGCATATATTATATTATTTATTATATATTTCAATGTGCATTATTAAAGCATTATGTTTGTTAATGCTGTAATAAGGTGTTGTGATATTTCTGAAGCAGTGCAGCTCTTACTTGGTGAATTCGGTGAGTCCTTTGAGGAACCATGCTGAGTTCCGGTACAGAGACATTCTCACACCCGCGCTGTCGCTCAGGTCGCCCGCTGTGATCGCGGATGCTCGCCGGTGCTTTTAACCGGGCGCCGGGGTCACATGAGTGCACGTATATCCACGCCACTCTCCGAAGGTTTAACACTGTATGCCCTCTACCGGTAATACTAGACATAACACGCCTCCGAGTGTCAGACCTCTGATGTGTCAAAGCAATTAGTTTGTGTGTCTGCTTTAGTTGACAATTTGATAATAGTTAAGAATACATAAGATCGTATATTTAATGACAGTATTGCAATATAAATAATAATAATAATAGTACAACAATGTATGTTATGGGCCTATTATTAGTAGTTATTATACATAATAACCTATTGCTTCCAATCAAATTCAGTATGGCGTCTTTTCAGGCTTTTGCGCATGCGTTAAAATCTTACGCGTTATTAAACTACTAGACTGTAACAGTCTAGATTAAAAAAAATACAATTTAAGCTAATTTACCATCAAAATATATATTATTTAATAACAACGGTTATATAGCCCCACCTAGCTATTGCCCGATCTCCATAAAATGTATCATGTAGCCTTAGAATCATGTTGCAAGTTACAATTTCTGATTGGTTGGAAATTGGTTTCGCTTAGGAATTTTTGGCTTTTGTTTAAACTTGGTCACACCTATTCTAAATGACCCTGTTATAGCAATCAATAATAAAGTTTAAAAAAATGTTTGTCGAGATTGATAGGGAAAACAATTCCAGGTAGTTCACTTAAATTGTTTGTTTAATAATCTCAAACAATTAAACGCGATTTGATTGACAGCTGGTTCTTGAGGCAGATTTGTTCAAAATGAGGTGATCTGACATTTGACATATCACTAACCTTACAGTCGTGGCCACACGTTTTGGCAGAGACATACATTTTGTGTTTTGCAAAGTTTGCTGCTTCAGTTGTTGTGGTGTTCATTCACATTGTTTCTAGATTATTGTGTAGAGTGATCAGATGCATTTTAAATAATTGCTAAAAGCTTCATTGGCCCCCCAAAAAATTAACTTTTCACAAAAAAAACAAATTTCACAGTTTTTTTATCCTGACACAAAATGACCAGCTAACATTAATTGTCTAATCATATCAGCAGCACTTGTGAAAGTGTGAATGAGTACTAGTCAGGTGAAATCACTAGCATACTAATTAGATTGTAAGAGCAGACTGATTGCTATAGAAAGAGGGAAGAAGCGCTTCCAATCATTGTGTTCTTGTTAGCAATGGTTACTTCCAAAGAAACACGTGCAGCCATCATCGCGGTGCATCAAAATGGTCTCACATGTGAGGAAATTCCTACAAAGAATATTGCACCTGAAAGAACCATTTACCGGATCATCAAGAACTTCAAGGAGAGAGGTTCGACTGCAGTGAAGAAGTCTTCGGGACGTCCCAGAGTGTCCAGCAAGCGCCAGGACCGTCTCCTCCCGAGGAATCGTGTCAGCAGCAGTGCAGAGCTTGCTCAGGAATGGCAGCAGGTTGGTGCGAGAGCATCTGCACGCACAGTGAGGCCAAGACTTTTCAGTTGTTGTGGTGTTCATTCACATTGTTTCTAGATTATTGTGTAGAGTGATCAGATGCATTTTAAATAATTGCTAAAAGCTTCATTGGCCCCCCAAAAAATTAACTTTTCACAAAAAAAACAAATTTCACAGTTTTTTTATCCTGACACAAAATGACCAGCTAACATTAATTGTCTAATCATATCAGCAGCACTTGTGAAAGTGTGAATGAGTACTAGTCAGGTGAAATCACTAGCATACTAATTAGATTGTAAGAGCAGACTGATTGCTATAGAAAGAGGGAAGAAGCGCTTCCAATCATTGTGTTCTTGTTAGCAATGGTTACTTCCAAAGAAACACGTGCAGCCATCATCGCGGTGCATCAAAATGGTCTCACATGTGAGGAAATTCCTACAAAGAATATTGCACCTGAAAGAACCATTTACCGGATCATCAAGAACTTCAAGGAGAGAGGTTCGACTGCAGTGAAGAAGTCTTCGGGACGTCCCAGAGTGTCCAGCAAGCGCCAGGACCGTCTCCTCCTGAGGAATCGTGTCAGCAGCAGTGCAGAGCTTGCTCAGGAATGGCAGCAGGTTAGTGTGAGAGCATCTGCATGGTGCACAGTGAGGCCAAGACTTTTGGACAATGGCCTGGTGTCAAGAAGGGCAGCAAAGAAGCCTCTTCTCTCCAAGAAAAACGTCAAGGACAGACTGAAACTCTGCAGGAAGTGCAAGGATTGCACAGCAGAAGACTGGTGCAAAGTTATTTTCTCTGATGAAGCTCCCTTCCGACTGTTTGGGACATTTGGAAAATCGGTTGTTCGGAGAAGAAAAGATGAACGCTACCATGAGTTCTGTGACGTGCCAACAGTGAAGCATCCTGAGACCATCCATGTGTGGGGTTGCTTTTCAACCGAGGGAGTGGGCTCTCTCATAATTC